CTCTGAGACACTACCTTTCCGATGCAAAAAGAATTATCGGTTGACGTGGTCCAAAGTTATGCGGTAACATACATAAAAAAAAAAAAAAAAAAAAAAAACAATATTCCGACAAACTGATAACCTCCTCCTTTTTTGGAAGTCGGTTAAAAACAAAAAACAATCTTAAATTTCATGCTCCATCTGGTTGGGATTGAACCCGGACAGCCTTTGTAGCAACCAATTGTATCAAGCATCTTTGCACACTCAGCTACAGCCACGCATGTAAATGTGCTTTCATATGTTGGGTTTGAATCAACACCACAATTCGCTATGCAAACATCTTCTATTTCGGTTTAGATTTTAAACCAAATATTCTATATATGAAACCTAGAAACTAGAATTAAAACATTTTGGTTTGATTTTTAAACCACGAACTTTTTGGGCTAAAATTTAAACCAAATATATTAAAAATTGCGTAAAACTATTGACTGGTTTAAAAAGTAGACTATAAAAGTTTAAAAAAGGCAGTAGTCCCAGCGCGGTTTAAAAATTAAACCCAAATTTTTGACCGTGTGTGTGTTATGCAATACATGCTATTCCTTCCAAATATAAATAGTGTCGTTAAGAACCCCTACACGGTCAAAAATTTAGGTTTAATTTTTAAACCGCCCTGTTACTACTGCCTTTTTTAATCTTGTATAGTCTACCTTTTAAACCAGTCAATAGTTTTAAGCAATTTTTAATATATTCTGGTTTAAATTTTAGTCCAAAAAGTTCGTGGTATAAAAATAAAACCAAAATGTTTTAATTCTAGTTTCGAAATAAAAAATGTTTGCACACAACGAAATGTGTTCAAACTCAACATATGACAGCACATTTACATGCGTGGCTGTAGCTGAGTGTGCAAAGATGCTTAATACAATTGCTTGCTACCAAGGCTGTCCGGGTTCAATCCCAATCAGGCGGATCATCAAATTTAAGATTTTTTATTTTTTTATTTTAAATTAAATCTGAAATTGTTTGGGTTTAAAATTTAAACCGAACTGTTTAAATTTTAAACCAAACAAATGTGCTCTCTTTTTTTAAAACTTGGAAGGTTTATATTTGAAACTGAATTTAGTTTGGTCATATATGTAGTCCAAAAAGTTTAAAATTAAAACCGAAATTTTTAACCGTGTACCTAATGGGGTATTGGTACGCAGCTATCAGAAGAGAGGGACTGACCCTGGTTACACTGTAGGGAAAATCTCAAGTTTTGAAAATACACAAAAAAAAAAGCCGAAACGCGTTAACTTAATATTAGAACGTAGATTAAGAATGTGTACAGCGTGTTG